ACACGCCATGATACTGGCAGTCACAGACACACATAATTGATAACATCGGTTTCTTCGCGTCTGACTGACGGTCATTTAGTGCAACCCATGTTCTAGTTATATGTGGCAGAGAGTTCTATTAAGTGCATCATTGTATAACTGCGACTGCTTGGTTCATAATATCCGTTGTGCTACATTTTAAATTACTGCCAGTTTTCGGTCGTTGTTGTTGGTTTCATCCCCCACTGGGTCTCATTTAGATGTTTTCCTCTGTTCTCATTTTGATGTAAAGACAACATGTTATTATTTCATTTCTTTTCGTACATTTGCTCAATGAAAATAGGCAACTAACTAACTAGCTAAGTTATTTCCGACATCACCACAACCGTATTTAGCCGTCGTTTATCATCATCATCATTCCCATAAACCACTTCCTGCCGTTAAGCGTTGGGAGGAATAATTTGCGATCCAGTGCACGCTGGCTGCCACTGACTATTTCATGCCGTGAAGGCGTAGAGTCTTTAATGCTGTCAATCCATTCTTATCGCGGTAGTCCTCTTGCTCTTGTAGCTGATCTTCTGAGATGTAGTGCCTGTAATGGTATTTGATGTGGCAGCATTCTGACGAGACAGCCAAACACTTGTCGTTTATGACATTCTGCTTAGGGGTTAACAGATCTATTGTTTTCTGCTCTAAAAAATAGAGCCACAGAACCCATACCATGAGACCTTTAACATATTTATAGCTCAGTTTCATGCAGGCACACGTGCACGCACCACACACACACACACACACACACACACACACACACAAACAAACACAGGCATTTATAAAAGACAACAACATGACAGCACTCACCTGGGCCCATATCTCTGAAATCACGTCGTCGTCGACTATGCCTGCGGCAGATAATGATGACGGCGATGAGGACGATCAAAGCGACGGCCACTGAGACACACAGACCGATGTAAAGGGACACATTGCTGTCTTTGTCTGCAGTAGCGGTTGCTGAAACAAACAACAGAGTTGTTGACAAGCAAACAGGGACTGCCGATGGGGCTGCAAGTACGCACATATTCAGGTACATTGTAGCATTGGGGGACACTTACCTCCCTTTATAAAATCCCCCGTGTAGGTTCCGGGGCCCCATTATGGGCAAAACAAGAATAGACCCACTGGTTCAAGGACATTAAGCCTTGTTTAGCTTGCACAATAATAATAATAATAATAATAATTATAATAATAATAATAATTATTATTATTTTAATGTATTTGAAATAATAGGCCTGAGGATGTACGGCCCAGTGGCAAGTGGCCGGGAACTTTTCTGGTTAAGATTTTACTGTTGCCCCAAAGAGGGAGAGAGAGAAAGAAATAGAGAAAGACCCAATAAGAGAGACAGAGAGAGCCCCTGAGAAAGAGAGACAGAGAGAGAGAAAGAGAGACAGAGAGAGAAAGAGAGACAGAGAGAGAGAGAGAGAGAGAAATCCCCCAACCTTAACCCGAATTCGAACCCTAGTTTCCCGCTTGAAAGCCCTGTGTCCTTATCCGTCCGTCCAGCTGCGACAGGGCTATATTAATAATAGTAATAATTACGTGTCTTTATTTTCCGTCAAAGATGGCGCAGGAGCCGATTAGCTGGGTGCTTGCCTTGAGAGACATTTGGCCTAGGTTCTAGCCTGCACCAGACCGCTTATAAAACAACTGACCAGTCTCCTAGATAGACCCGGGTTACATTCTGCTCCTAGGGAATGCCCTAGGAAGTAAAGGCGGCCGGTGTGAAGTAGACCAGGTCATACAAGGAGTACCGTCTAGTCTTCAGTAATGCGAGTTAGCATCATTTATCTAATGAACCACTCGGCTGGACATAAATCGTTCATTTTACCAGCGGCCAGAACCGGAAATATAAACAAGGTTATGAGAAAACTCCAGTAAAACGATATGACTCCGACAGCCAAAATCGTGCTGAATTTATGGCAAACGGAATTAGAGAGATAGCAAAAGATGTAAAAATAAAGAGTCTTCAATTTATGATATTCCCGTAATGATGTCTACCAAGGAAGCCAGGTGTGCATTTATGTGGACGATCCATCTACATCTAGGCAAAATGGAGTGTAGATAACGCGTCTTTACAGGCATGCGTTTTGTCCCACTTGTATGTAAACACCAGATTTTAAGTGGTTGCTCGTAAAAATTACCTCCCCTGCGATGTAGAAGCAAACGCCGTAGTTATCGGCCCTGCATTTCAAAGCTGGAGGAATAGGAAGAGAAAAGTGGAGGCGTCTGTGATATTTTAAGTTATAGTTCAGTGTTCTTCAAACTTGTTACATCAGCGGACCCGCAAAACAAGGGAAATTATTTCGTGGACTACCTGAGTGACGAGGGACGTTCAACCCTTCTAGGACCGCACTACGAGCGATTAACAGCCGGTGACTCAAAGTGTCACCATTCGGGTGAGAATCGCCCAGGCGCGAGTCCCAGAAACCGCCGTCGCTAGGTTATAAAGAGACCCCCGACGAAGCTAAGTGTGTCGCTCAGGAACCTGGGGGCATTATCGGCCCATTGGCTCGCCAGTAGACGACTTCGTCACCGGTCGGCACATTATTTGGGTCTGTCTACACTGATTTCTTCAACACTTTTCACAGCTACTTGGTGGCGAGCAATGCTAAGCAGTTTTAAATGTTGCACATAACCTAGTCATAATTATACCCTAAAACTCTCCCTTTGGGGATACTGGTTGAGTGTGGCGATTTTTTTTTTTGTTTTGTTGTTAAGCAAAGTAACAACCTGGGGGTTCAGGAAGCTTGACAACACCCCCCCCCCCCCCTCACCCTTTTCCAACACATGATTTCTTTGGGGTGGCACTTCGGGGATATATTGAGTTTGTCTGAGCACCATATACCCAGCTGTGATTTCTCCCACTGTATCGCTCTCAGGTGCAGACTTCAGTTCCAATCCAACCCTAGGGAGTTCAAGCATAACTGCTATTCGGCTGAACGAGGTTTCTGGGATTTGTTCATGTAGGATTCTCGTCCCTAAAGTGGTAATCCTGCCGACTGAAACCCTGGAAGAGACATTTTAACTAGCCACTTTTATTCTCCCCGGGCTGCTACCTGATGGCATGGCCAAGCCTGAGACATCAATAGGGCATCTTAGATGACATCATCTGAGCTAATCGCCAACACTTCAGCCGACCCCTGGAGGAGTACCTTCACCGTCTACGTGGCGTGCTGCTGTATTGTGGCATAAATCTTTTGCGGGTAAGGATTATGTATATGTCTGGCTGTTTTCTTCCCTCTCTTCCCCCGAACTGCAGTCTGAGATGGAAGCACGGTCAGAGATCCATTTTTCAGGTTAAACGCAAAAAAAAAAAAATGCCCAGAGACCTTGTTCAACGGCATGAAGTTACTTTCGCATCCTTTTAAGGGCGTTGCGGAAAGAACCGCATCATGTATCCGTGTATAATAAGTAGTTCTTCAGTGCTTCTGAACGGAGAAACCAAGGCAAGACTAACTGCTAAAGCACAGACGCGGGCTCTACAGCATAAACATTTTATACGGTAGATTCCGCTAGTGTTTAGTAACAGTAACGTTTTAAAATGATGTGTGCTTGAGATTGTAACTTCTTTAATATCTATCTCTTCTTCTTTCAGTGTGATAATTTTCCTTAGTATTTTCCCACAGTCTTTGAAGTTCATTGCTCTTACCCATCGCCAACAAAGAATGCGCTTTTCCAACATTGACGATAAAACCGGCGATGAACGTGGCAATTTAGTGACTAGATAGCGCCTTCATGACTGCGTCAGCCTCCAGGGGGAAGCAGGAAGATGATAGGATCCATTCCTTTGGCTGTTGCATTAATTAGTTAATATTGTTTGGCAGTGAACGAGGGAAAGGGAGGGGGGGGGGGGTTTCTGACATGATAGCTGTAGAGCATCTTACTCAGGAGATTCGGGCATGAACTTCTGTGTGTTACTGTTCTCTCTCTCTCTCTCTCTCTCTCTCTCTCTCTCTCTCTCTCTCTCTCTCTCTCTCTCTCTCTCTCTCTCTCTGTCTCTAGACAAAAATATTTTAGAGTGGTACTTGCCTCTCTCCACATAACATGACATTTTAGAGTGCTACTAGTCTCTCTCCACAATATGACACTTCAGAGTGCTACTAGTCTCTCTCCACAATATGACACTTCAGAGTGCTACTAGTCTCTCTCCACAATATGACACTTCAGAGTGCTACTAGTCTCTCTCCACAATATGACACTTCAGAGTGCTACTAGTCTCTCTCCACAATATGACACTTCAGAGTGCTACTAGTCTCTCTCCACAATATGACACTTCAGAGTGCTACTGTGGCGCGGTGATTTATGTCACAGGCGTGAGGGGAAGTTAAGTCCAACATGATGTGTATAAGGAGATACTCCGTACGTCACTCGGGCGCCAGTCCTTTACTATCTCGGTTGTACGGAACATCACGCAAGACCCCTACAGCACGTCCTCGTCGTGCGCCACGGATAATGTCTCAAATGAGCATTAACAGAGCTGTCAGGGGATCTCGGAGTTTGGGGGCCCCCAGAGGTGATGAGTCTTTGTGGCTCTCATCAGCCCGCCCCCAAACGCTTGGGTGAAAAATGTTATCAAAACTCATTAGGAACATGAGTAGGTTCGACAAAAGTACAGCTAAAATCACAACCCTTGGTTAAAAGACTGCTGAGTAAAGAGAACATTGCTCAATGCTCATCCTCGGTTAATTCTCAGTGTCGTCGTCACCGCGCTGAGGTGCACCACAACAGAAACCATACATGGGCTGGCCATTCTTGTGCATCCTCGGTTGGCCCTCAGTGTCGTCGTCACCGCGCTGAGGTGCACCACAACAGCAACCATCCATAGGCTGGCCAGTCACGTACATCCTCGGTTAACCCTCAGTGTCGTCGTCACCGCGCTGTGGTACACCACAACAGCAACCATCCATCGGATGGCTAAGCCTAAATGTCCGACAAAACTAGATCATACGGATCAAAAATCTGACCATCAAAATTTGCACTGAAATGCAAAAGGCCGAATGTCCACACCCAAAGACCCCACTCGCCCGAGTGTTGGGACAAAACTGATAACGATATGCCTGATTCAGGATGTGAAATTCTGCCGGGCAAATGTACCTATCTGTGTGGTCACAAAAGTCCAAAACCAACGGGCTGCTCCCCGCTGACTTCCAGAGGGCGCAGCCCCTGTCGAGCGGGAGGCCTGATACGGTTGTGAGGTTAAGCAGGCATGTGCAGGACGTGACGATTCCTTGGGTGAGCCCAGAACCAGAGCGCCATGTGCCGGCTCTGCATGCATGGAAGCCTCCTTGGATGGCGGGGAATGCCCATGATCTGCCCCTGCCTTCCCTTGAGGGCCAACTGTTCCACAGGGGGTTGCCCCAAAGGGGTACTCCTGGGGCAATACCTGCGGCGAAGGAGACAAGGCGGACACCACACAAATCAGGCAGTCTCGACCCACACAAAACAATGGCCACAGTCACCCTAGAAATAGGCCTGACGTCTTCGTTCGAAGTCGGCGTACAGCTGCCCAAGAGGCAGGGAAATAAAAAACGGTTGTACACGCAAAAATCAGGTCCAGGTGAAGGCCAAAAGTCCAAGCGGACGATTAACCGGGACCTTCCACTGGAATTCACAGCCGGTGTTCGATGAAAAAAAAAAAAAAGAGTGCTACTAGTCTGTCTCAACAATATGACACTTCAGAGTGCTACTAGTCTGTCTCAACAATATGACACTTCAGAGTGCTACTAGTCTCTCTCCACAATATGACATATTAGAGTGCTACTGTTCTCTTTCCATTTACCTCTAAAACACACCGTCTTAGAGTATTACTATTTTTCTCTACTTTCCCCAGCACACAACTTTTTATAATTTTACTACTACTACTACTACTACTACTACTACTACTAACAACAACAACTACTACTAACTACTAACTACTACTACTACTACTACTACTACTACTACTACTACTACTAAGACTGCTACTACTGCCATTACTGCCACTACTACTACTACTACTACTACTACTACTACTACTACTACTACTACTACTACTACTACTACTACTACTAACTACTACTACTACTACTACTACTACTACTAACTACTACTACTAACTGCTACTACTACTACTACTACTACTACTACTACTACTACTACTACTACTACTACTACTACTACTGCTGCTGCTACTTCTACTACTACTACTACTACTACTAAGACTGATACTACTGCCACTACTACTGCTACTACTACTTCTACTAACTACTACTACTACTACTACTACTACTACTACTACTACTACTACTACTACTTACTACTACTTACTACTACTTACTACTACTACTACTAACTACTACTACTACTAACTACTACTACTACTAACTACTACTACTACTAACTACTACTACTACTACTACTACTACTACTACTACTACTACTACTACTACTACTACTACTACTACTTACTACTACTACTACTAACTACTACTACTACTAACTACTACTACTACTAACTACTACTACTACTAACTACTACTACTACTACTACTACTACTACTACTACTACTACTACTACTACTACTACTACTACTACTACTACTACTACTACTACTACTACTACTACTACTAACTACTACTACTACTAACTACTACTACTACTAACTACTACTACTACTACTACTACTACTACTACTACTACTACTACTACTACTACTGAGAGTGCTACTACTGCTGCTACTAATGGTCCCCCTACCCTCCCCTCCCCTCCCCTAAAAAAAATCACCAAAACACAACCTCCTAAACTGATACTATTTTTCTTTTCTTCTTTTTGAAGCAACGTGTCCACGTCACTGCTAAGAATACGCGAAATAGGAGTAAAGATCGGCACAGCCAAGCATGAGAAGCACACCAGACGCACACGAATTATTGTTAACCAACATAGGACTGCTAGTATTAACCGCACGACGCTAATAAATATGTTGAGAGGGGAATCTGAGCGCCTATGGATGTGTCAGGAGTGCTGTGAAGATAATATAACTCATAAATTTTATTCCGTAAAGTCGCAGCATCTTACAGTTTGCCTAATTTTTTATTTCCAGCATAGATTGATAATTGTGTGCCGTCTTCAAAATGAAAGCTGGCCGCAGTCCCCCCGCTGCCGACTGTATAAAAATGTGGCGAGGAGCCTAAGTCTTCCACATTGCAACTCTCCTACCACTGTCCCTTGCAGTGTTGCTATTCTCCATCAAGCCACTTAATCTGAGACTGGTATACCTCTCTCCACTAACCGCTCTTACTCTCCCCACACGGCAAACTTTCACGATGTTGCTAGAATCCCGCTGCCACCCCGTCCCGCAGCGACGTCAACAACTGACTGCCTGGTACATTTACAACACTTTTATGTCTTGCCCCATTCTGGAATTTCACAGATTCCTACACGAACTTTCCTGGCACATGGCAGCTTTAAAAAGTATCATTAGCGCGAAAGCAGATGCGAACGATAAGTGACGAGTCTGGCTTTTGTGTGGTCAAGAATTCATTTGCGCGTACCAACATTGCAGGAAATTTGTACATACAACTTTCTGAGTAAACATTTTCCAACAAAGAAAGCCTCAGCAGGTTATGTGTGGGGCGGGAGAAAAAGAGATTATCGCACACATGTGTAATAATTTTATTTGATGAGTAAAGTATGTGATTTCATATGTTCGTGGGAAACTGTCAGGAAATTGATAATTAGGAACAGAGAGGAAGTCCAGTGTGTTGAGATTTTAACTCATCATCATCATCATCATAATCATAATCATCATAATTTTTATATACTTTTTTCTTTGTCGATCTGTGGCGGGTCATGAATGGAAGGACAGACGGACGGACGGACGGACGAACGGACGGACGGACGGACGGACGGACGAACGGACGAACGGACGGACAGACGGACAGACGGACAGACAGACAGACAGACAGACAGACAGACAGACAGACAGACAGACAGACAGACAGACAGACAGACAGACAGACAGACAGACAGACAGACAGACAGACAGACAGACAGACAGACAGACAGACAGACAGACAGACAGACAGACAGACAGGACAGGACAGACAGACAGACAGACAGACAGACAGACAGACAGACAGACAGACAGATAGACAGATAGATAGATAGATAGATAGATAGATAGAGAGATAGAGAGATAGATAGATAGATAGATAGATAGATAGATAGATAGATAGATAGATAGATAGATAGATAGATAGATAGATAGATAGATAGATAGATAGATAGATAGATAGATAGATAGATAGATAGATAGATAGATAGATAGATAGATAGATAGATCGATAGATGATTAGAAAGATAGATAGATAGATAGATAGATAGATAGATAGATAGATAGATAGATAGATAGATAGATAGATAGATAGATAGAATAGATAGATAGATAGATAGATATATAGATAGATAGATAGATTAGATAGAATAGATAGATAGATAGATAGATAGATAGATAGATAGATAGATAGATAGATAGATAGATAGATAGATAGATAGATATCTCAGTAGATAGATCTACTGAGAAAAAACACTGTTACAAATCTACTCACCTTGATCCCTGTTGGAATAGACCGGGTCTGCTGTGTTGGGCACTTCTGTAACAGATTCAGTCAAACAATCAGACGGGAGAGTTGATATGGTTTGTGTGTGTTTGTTTGTGTGTGTGTGTGTGTGTTTTCCTTTTTAAATCTAATAACACAACATCTATCACAGATATACAGTTAGGTAGACATAGAGGCAATCAGACAAGCAGACAGACAGACAGAAGGGTTAGCATTCAGACACGTAAGAGACAGAAAGAACAGAAAGATTAGCATTCAATCAGGCAGGTAGGAGACAGATAGATTAGCATTCAATCAGGCAGGTAGGAGACAGATAGATTAGCATTCAATCAGGTAGGTAGGAGACAGATAGATTAGCATTCAATCAGGCAGGTAGGAGACAGATAGATTAGCATTCAATCAGACAGACAGTCGGGGGAGCGAGCAATCACGCAGGTTAGTGAGCAATGAGACAGACAGACGGACAGTCAAGTTAACAAGCAATCAGTCAAACACTGATATAAGAAGGCAGGCAGACAGACAATCAGACAGAATTAACAAGCAAACATACTTTTTTTTCTAAGCGTTACGACATATAACCAGTTGACTAGACATATATCAGACAGACAGGTAGTAAGTAAGTTGACAGATATTCAGACAGACATGTGGACAGGCAGACAAGGGCTTAGGCAACCACAATAACGGACATGCAGCCAGGTGAATACGTGCTAAAAGCAGAAATAAACAGGTAGTTATGCAATCAGACAGTGAGACAGACAGACATGTCACTCAGGCAGACAGAACGAACGAACGAACTTTTTTTTAAAGGGTCACAAATTGAGCACTCAGGCCCGACTTATATTCAGCCCATCCAAACACTCTTTTACCACACTGCAGTTGTATTTTATCAATAAGCACGGTATATTCATATTATAATATAAATATTTTGGAAATCAAGGTGGAAAAAATAAAAAAGCATGGGTGGTAAAATGCATGCACACACAAGCGCACGCACATACACACATGTCCACCCACTCACTTAAACACGCACATATACGCATCCGAATACATTCACACACAAACACACATAAACACGCCCCCATTCACCCACATACATTCCTACCTATCCACATATACACGCACATTCAACACACATACATACAGACAGATGCACACATGCACACATAGACACACCCACAGAAACAAACGTAGGCAAACACACAGACAAGTAGGTAGGTAGGTTGATAAACAAAGCCATCAGACACAGGTTGTAAAGCAAGCAATCAGACACAGGTTGTAAAGCAAGCAATCAGACACATATTGTAAAGCAAGCAATCGGACACAGGTTGTAAAGCAAGCAGTCAGACACATGTTGTAAAGCAAGCAATCAAACACAGGTTGTAAAGCAAGCAATCAGACACAGGTTGTAAAGCAAGCAATCGGACACAGGTTGTAAAGCAAGCAGTCAGACACATGTTGTAAAGCAAGCAATCAAACACAGGTTGTAAAGCAAGCAATCAGACACAGGTTGTAAAGCAAGCAGTCAGACACAGGTTGTAAAGCAAGCAATCAAACACAGGTTGTAACGCAGACAATCAGACACAGGTTGTAAAGCAAGCTATCAGACACAGGTTGTAAAGCAAGCAATCAGACACAGGTTCTAAAGCAAGCAATCAGACTCAGGTTGTAAGTTAGGCAATTAAACATATACACACTTAGGTAGGTAGATAGACAAACAATCAGACACACACACAGTCAGCTAAGTAGGTAAGTAAGCAAAAAATCAGGCACGTATTAGGTAATCAGACAGAGAACGAGGTGAGTAAGATGCAAGCAATTAGACAGACTGGGAGGGAAAAAAAAAGGATAGAACAAACGAACTTGATTTCCAAAGGGTTACAAACTGGGCACACAGGCCCGTCTTACATTCGGACGTTTCAAAGACTCATTTTTCACAAGGCAATTGTATTTTTATATCAAGCATATTTCGTTATAAATCAAAATTCCCCGTATGCATGTAAAGTAATAATACAAAAGCATGCAAGCAAATGCATTCCCTCAAATATACATGCAAACAGACACACCCAACGAGGACTCACAGCAATGGCTGACGTACAGACACAAACACACATACAACAAACACACAACATACACAGACACACAACGACACAACAGACACAGGAATTCACACAGTCACCGACACAATATATACACGCAACGCGGAAACACAAACACATGGACAGAAAACACAGACACAACAGACAGTGGGGAAGACAAATAGGCAACCAGACAGACATCTAAGAAAGTAGACAGACAGTTACGATAGGATAACTAGATCAGCAAATACACAATCATAAAGACTTTTATAATAGACCGAGAGATGAATGTGTGTAGACAGACATACGTACTGACACGCAGATACCAGTCAACGTGCAGAGTTATAGATAGGTTAACACTTGGATAAAAGGTGAGCAGGAAGGTAAAACAGCTTATACAGACAAATAAATCAACACACAAAAAAAGGGCTGACATATTAATTAACCCCCCCCCCCCCCCCCCACGACCTCCCTCAATTATTAGTGGGTAGATAGGTGGCAAGGTAAATATTAAGTACGCGGATGAGTAAATAGATGGATGAGTGGATGGGAGAATGGATAGGTGGATGGAAGAATGGATGACACAACAGACTAAAGTTTGATTTAAAAAGTCCAAAATAGGATTCTTTGAGTCTTTAATGTTTAGCAGCTGAAAAATCTAGTGAGAATTGATTGGTTGACGACCACCCCACTTCCGTCTGCACTGTGGTCTTGTTCCAAAGCTTAGTTTTGCGTGCACACCCGTTTTACAGATGTGGCTTACATGTATGCAAACTGTTCGTTCCTCGCTTCTCATATTTCTGCACTCCAACTTTGAAAACAAACCTCTAATTCATCGCCTTTTACGACACGCATTTGAGGAGGGGGAGTCTACAACCCTCCCCCCTCCTCCCCCCCTCCCCACCACCAATATACCAGCAGCTAGGTATTTTAAACTATGATGTTATTTCAATTTTAATTTACTCCGATGCAAATCACAGAACGGCGAAAGGAATGGAACAAAAGTTCATTCAAAAACAAACGACTAAAGAAACTGACGAAGATGAAATGCGATGAATTCAATAAATGGAAAGAATTAGTTCGAGACGTTTCCAGCCAACCGCTGGTGTGAACACCTCCCGGACTAAGAAGCTGTGGAATGGTACACACTTCCTGAGATGAACGAGACAGGCAATCTCTAAACAGGCACTGCAATGGGAAAAACAGATGTAAGACAGTGTGATGTCTAAGAGAAAGCCTAGGGCCAAGGTTGATTAGAGAGAGCAAAAGTGCGGGACTGGACTCCATCCATGATACGGATCCGTTTGTACAGGGTACAGACCTGTTTGTACAGGGTACAGACCCGTTTGTTTAGGCTACATACCCGTTTGTACAGGGTACAGACCTGTTTGTACAGGGTATAGACCCGTTTGTACAGGGTACAGACCCGTTTGTACAGGGTACATCAAAACGTCAAGTCTGCGACGATGACAGAGATGATGATAATGATGATGAAAATGATAATGATGATGATAATATTGATCATGTTATTATTGATGCAATTTCTGGGAATGTTAGTAACAAACGTGCACGCACACGCACACACACACACACACACACACACACACACACAATTGCTTGTTAATATTGGTGTGTTAGCGCACGTGCACATATAGCATTTAGCTGTCCAAATCCCAAGGTGGCAAGTCCGTCACATGCTCGGCTTACCACTGGTGGTAGCTTCTGTGGCCAGGTTGTCAGATTTCTCTGTCGCTTCGGCCAAAACCTCAGTTGTTGGTAACTGCTTTTTGTCTGAAAATTAACACGGTTATGAAGACAGCTGCGTGCGAATGTGTACATGTATATGTATGAGTGCGGTGTAGCGTCTGAAGCTTAGGCATTGCGAACACGCTTTGTAATCCCGGGGTGCCGGGTTCGATCCCAGCTGCAGGCCTTGCGTTGGCTTCGACAGTGGTATCGAGAAGCCGACCGTCTAGTAAGCATTGGCAAACTACTGGACGTAAACTTGCCTAGAAAAACCCCAACAGCCAAAAAAGCTGGGGTTGGGTTTGCAACGTCCTGTAAATGATACGCAGCTAACTTTATGTGTGTGGGTGTGTGGTTGGTAAGGTGCGAGGAAGAGGGGGAGGTGTGGGGGGGGGGGGGGGGTAGCATGCTCTCATTTTTTCTTTTCTTTTTTCTGATACTTCGTGATTTCAGTGAGCACACGGAAACATGGAAGTCGTCTGGTTTATAAAACTATGGGGTTAGACCAGAAGCATTAAGCTCTGGCTGAAGAAAATTTTAAGAAGATTTCCAAGGGGTGGTTAAAAAAAAGGGGGTGGGGAGAGAAGGGAGATTTATAGTGATACGCTGTTTATGCTTTTTGCATACTAGATGGATGGATGGACGGATGGATGGATTGATTGGATTGGAATAATGGATAAAACAAAAGTCAAATAACGCTTCACAGATTAGTGAGTGTATTGAATTCGTGGATGCACGGAGAGATGGATGAATCAATTATCAGACAATCTGACTGACAGACAAATGAAAAATACACGCCCCCCCCCCTCCTTTTTCCTTCTACCCTTCGGATAATTAACTTCCGGCTGTTTTCCATCAGCAACCACGACATTATCAAAGTGGTCACGCAACAATGAATATGCATGATCGTCAGCTGCGGTCGTACGACCACCATGAAACACACCCCTTACTGCAGGTGCAAAAATGCAATCCCCGGGTAATATCACGAGGCACCTCACCCACTTAACTACAAGATCCTTTCAAAAACAAAACAAGAGAATGACCAGATTGCTTAAAATAAAACTTGTGTTGTGTAGCCTTTACATCAGTGTTCCTCAAGTTGTTTACACCCACGACCCACCAACACAGGGTCAAGCGTTTCGCGGTCCATCCGACCGTTAACCAAACATAAAACAGAAAAAATTGTAGACAGCAGTTTATTTGTTAAATGCGCCCGGCTCTCTAGCGTAGTTGGCTAAACCGGATTGCGCGGAGACCGGGTGACGAACTTCTTGTGGTCCGTGTTCAATCCCGGGGGTAGGCAGGAAAGCCACATGTTCTCCCAGATTTACGGTATTTACAATGAAATCAAGGCCGAAATGTTGCGATATCCACAATACCGAGCCTAAGGGTTAACAGCTCATGGCTTCTGGATACTAAAACAAACAATTTGTTAAATGCCAGGTCTGGAAATTGAAATGTTCCGCTAAAGCTACAATTGTTGCTTGGTCGTTAACAAATCTTATCTATGCAGCTGTAGCGTTGATTCTGATAGTCTTTTCTTCTTAGTCTTCTTCTTCTTTTTCTTCTTCTTCTTCTTCTTCTTCTTCTTCTTCTTCTTCTTCTTCTTCTTCTTCTTCTTCTTCTTCTTCTTCTTCTTCTTCTTCTTCTTCTTCATCTTCTTCTTCATCTTCGTTTCCCGGCCTTTCTAGCGGAAAGACTTGGTTGTTCGTCCATTTAGACTTTGGCATTGTGCTAGAACCAAAGTTTTGTGTGTTACTGCCTTATTTGTCTGCAGTTAGTTATTCTTTGCCACTCGGACAGACGTACTCGACTTCAAAGGCAGCTGCATATTAGTCAAATCCTACGACATGCTTACTGGAGTGGCAGCAGGTCTATATTTTTCTCTCCAGAATGGGGCCCTGGAGCCCACACGGGAAGTTTCTAATATACAAAGCTCTGCAATAACATCCAGTCCCTTTCTCTGTTTGGTTGTTATTGCAATGCCTGAGAAAGCTCTTTCCTAAAAATATTAAGGCTTTTCCCACAAATAGGAAGTCCTTTCCCGCAAAAAGGAAGTCTTTTCCCACAGATAGGAAGTCGTTTCACTCTCACTCTCTCTCACTCACTCTCTCTCTCTCTCTCTCTCTCTCTCTCTCTGTGTGTGTGTCTGTGTGTGTGTGTGTGTGTGTGGCTGTTCTAATGCTGACAACGTTGCACAAACGATGAAACTCTGTGCTGTGTTATCTTGGCAGCTGTGATTCCATCACACCAGGTACCAGTTCCAGGTAACTCCACAAAGGAAATCAGGTGCCAGGTTGCGCCATGATGCCTTCTATCACTGCATATTTTCCGTTGCTAGATGACTACCACTCGGCAGTTGTTCTCGATAAGTCTCAGTGACGATCGTCAACAGTTGTGCAGTTCTTTCTTCTTTTGTAGACTCGTGTTCCTCTGGGTCCGCCTGCAATGGTGGTGCTGGATCAGATGGGCGATTACCTAGCTGAGGTACACACCTGGGGTCATCTCAGCTGTTGTAGTTTCAGGTACGCTATGGAGACAGGCTAAGGGGTCATGAGGGGGTGTTTGTAGAACCTGAAGGTCTTCCTTTTCTTAGCACGTTTTATTATGTTTTGCAGCTAGGCTGGGATATCTGCGCATTTCGGTCTGATATAATCAATTTTAGTAAGCCCATAATCAGTGGCCCTAATGTTGAGTTTTGGAAGAAAGCAAAACAAGTTCCACTAGGTCAAGGGGTGAAGAAAGGTGCCTGACGTTAAATAGGACACTCGTTACGAAAACACGAAAACTATATAACTAGAATGTCTTTGCACTGGAAGTCACAGGAGTATATAAGTAGAAGCAGAAGCAAAAGACGAAGAAGCAAAAGACGAAGAAGCAGAAGACGAAGAAGCAGAAGACGAAGAAGCAGAAGGCGAAGAAATAGAACCAGAAGACGAAGAAGCAGAAGACGAAGAAGCAGAAGACGAAGAAGCAGAAGACGAAGAAGCAGAAGACGAAGAAGCAAAAGCAGAAGACGAAGAAGCAGAAGACAAAGAAGCAGAAGACAAAGAAGCAGAAGACAAAGAAGCAGAAGACAAAGAAGCAGAAGACGAAGAAGCAGAAGACGAAGAAGCAGAAGACAAAGAAGCAGAAGACAAAGAAGCAGAAGACAAAGAAGCAGAAGACAAAGAGCCAGAAGACAAAGAAGCAGAAGACAAAGAAGCAGAAGACAAAGAAGCAGAAGACGAAGAAGCAGAAGACGAAGAAGCAGAAGACGAAGAAGCAGAAGACGAAGACAAAGAAGCAGAAGACAAAGAAGCAGAAGACAAAGAAGCAGAAGACAAAGAAGCAGAAGGCGAAGAAATAGAACCAGAAGACGAAGAAGCAGAAGACGAAGAAGCAGAAGACGAAAAAGCAGAAGACGAAAAAGCTGAAAGAAGTAGAAGACGAAGAAGAAGAAGCAGAAGACAAAGAAGCAGGAGCAGAAGACAAAGAAGCAGAAGACAAAGAAGCAGAAGACAAAGAAGCAGGAGCAGAAGACAAAGAAGCAGAAGACAAAGAAGCAGAAGACAAAGAAGCAGAAGACAAAGAAGCAGGAGCAGAAGACAAAGAAGCAGGAGCAGAAGACAAAGAAGCAGGAGCAGAAGACAAAGAAGCAGAAGACAAAGAAGCAGAAGACAAAGAAGCAGAAGACAAAGAAGCAGAAGACAACGAAGCAGAAGACAAAGAAGCAGGAGCAGAAGACGAAGAAGAAGAAGCAGAAGACAAAGAAGCAGAAGACAAAGAAGCAGGAGCAGAAGACAAAGAAGCAGAAGACGAAGAAGCAGAAGACGAAGAAGCAGAAGACGAAGAAGCAGAAGACGAAGAAGCAGAAGACGAAGAAGCAGAAGACGAAGAAGCAGAAGCGGAAGACGAAGAGGCAGAAGACGAAGAAGCAGAAGACGAAGAAGCAGAAGACGAAGAGGCAGAAGACGAAGAGGCAGAAGACGAAGAAGCAGAAGACGAAGAAGCAGAAGACGAAGAGGCAGAAGACGAAGAAGCAGAAGACGAAGAAGCAGAAGGCGAAGAAATAGAACCAGAAGACGAAGAAGCAGAGGAAGTATCAGCAGCAGCCGACGCCAAAACAGAACTGTGGAGGCGGTCTAGTTTTTGTTTTATTTAACAAATGGCCTGCTTCAGAAGGCAACACACATCTACCACCAACAGCGCTACGACAACTGTGATAAGGGATCCAACTGGACAATAGCAGGAACGGACGTGGTGAAGGACGAAGTAAATCCATGCGTAACCACGTGGCCACTAGAACTACCAAAAAACAATGTGTTTTATGCATCTGTGAGTCAGGCGCAGCACACGTGGACAACCTGGCAACGCTGTGAAACTTGTGTGGATGATACATTCTCACAAACTCTGGCAACATCTGTTTGGAAATCTGTTGCTTTCATGTTGCAATATGTCAGTTATCATTTCATTGAAACTTTCTTGACTCTCTCTCTCTCTCTCTCTCTCTCTCTCTCTCTCTCTCTCTCTCTCTCTCTCTCTCTCTCTCTCTCTCTCTCTCTCTCTCTCTCTCTCTTTCGCCCTCTAAATCTCTCTCTCTATCTCTCTCTCTTTTTCTTTCCCTTGCCCCCCCCCCCTCCGTCACAAGCAACACCCCCACCCCCCTACCCCCCACCCGGGCCATAAAACTCCTAAAAATAGTGTATTTTTTTAAATATATTTGTTTGGGTACATTGGAGGATTAGATAACAATATCTGTGATTTTGCTAACACATTCTATTCAATTTCTTTCGGTAACAAATTTAAAGAGATTATATTTATATTATCCACATTGTAAAAAGGCGTACCTATTTTAAGTGTTTTGAAATTAGCTGGTGTCACTTAAAACGCTAGGGGCCTCAAGGCTTTATATATCTTATGGTCTTGTCAACTCGAAACTCTGCCTTTTTTATGAATTTATTTTCATTAACTTTCTCGTCCTCTCTGGTTCACTTGCATGTCTCCTCTCGTTTAACTCTCTCTCTCTCTCTCTCTCTCTCTCTCTCTCTCTCTCTCTCTCTCTC